CACAAAAAGTATGGGATGTCCTGAATAAGAACTGACCATTGTTTCTTTCTACTTATTGGAAATGGGGTCTTTATAGTACTTTATATTATGTTAATACCCCATTTTTCCAAAACAGTGCAGTAAGAAAGTTTCATGTCAAGTACATAGTATGGGATGTCATGTATAAGAACTGACCATTGTTTTTTTCTACTTATTGGAAATGGGCTCTTTATAGCACTTTATCGTATGTTAATAACCTGTTTCCCAAAAACGCTGCAGTAAAAATGTTTCATGTGAAGTGCACATATAGTATGAAATGTCCTGTATAAGAACTGACCATTGTTTTTTTCTACTTATTTAAAATAAACTCTTTATAGTATTTTATATTATGTTAATACCCCGTTTCTTTAAAATGCTGCAGTAAAAAGCTTTTATGTGAAGTACACACATAGATTAAGATGTCCTGTATAAGATCTGACCATTGTTTTTTTCTACTTATTTGAAAGGGGGTATTTATAGTACTTTTTCTATGTAATACCCTGTTTCTCCAAAATGCTGCAGTAAAAAGGTTTCATGTGAAGTACATATATAGTATGGGATGTCCTGTATAACAACTGACAATTGTTTTTTCTACTTATTTGAAATGGGGTTTTTATATCACTTTATATTATAATGTCAATACCCCGCTTCTCCAAAACAGTGCAGTAAGAAGTTTTCATGTGAGGTACACATATAGTGAGGGATGTCCTGTATAACAACTGACAAATGTTTTTTCCTTCTTATTTAAAATGCGGTCTTTATTGTACTTTATATTATGTTAATATCCAGTTTCTTTAAAATGCTGCAGCAAAAAGATTTCATGTGAAGTACACACATAGAATAGCATGTCCTGTATAAGATCTGACCACTGTTTTTTTCTACTTATTTGAAATGGGGTTTTTATACAACTTTATGTAATGTTAATACCTCATTTCTCCAAAACAGTGCAGTAAGAATGTTTCATGTGATGTACACACAAAATATGGAATGTCTTGTACAAAAACTGATCATTGTTTTTTTCTACTTATTTGAAATGGGGTCTTTATGGCACTTTATATTATCTTAATACCCCATTTCTCTAAAATGCTGCAGTAAATAGGTTTCATGTGAAGTACAGATATAGTATGGGATGTCATGTATATTAACTGACCATTGTCTTTTTCTACTTATTTGAAATGGGGTCTTTAAAGCACTTTATATTATGTTAATACCCCATTTCTCTAAAATGCTGCAGTAAATAGGTTTCATGTGAAGTACAGATATAGTATGGGATGTCATGTATATTAACTGACCATTGTTTTTTTCTACTTATTTAAATTGGGGTCTTTATAACATTTTGAAACATAATATTATACAATTTCTCCAAAACACTACAGTAATAAGGTTTCATGTGAAGTCCACACATAGTATAGGATGTCCTGTGTAAGAACTGACCATTGTTTTTTTCTACTTATTTGAAATGCGGTCTTTATAGCACTTTATATTATGTTAATACCCCCTTTCTCCAAAACGCTGCAGTAAATAGGTTTTATGTGAAGTACACATATAGTATGGGATGTCCTGTATAAGAACTGACCATTGTTTTTTTCTACTTATTTAAAATGCGGTCTTTATAGTATTTTATATTTTGTTAATACCCCGTCTCTTTAAAATGCTGCAGTAAAAAGGTTTCATGTGAAGTACATATATAGTATGGGATGTCCTGTATAAGAACTGACCATTGTTTTTTTCTACTTATTTGAAAAGGGGTCTTTATAGCACTTTATTTTATGTTAATACCCCATTTCTCTAAAATGCTGCAGTAAATAGGTTTCATGTAAAGTAGAGATATAGTATGGGATGTCCTGTATAATAACTGACCATTGTTTTTTTCTACTTATTTAAATTGGGGTCTTTATAACACTTTGAAATATAATATTAAACAATTTCTCCAAAACACTGCAGTAATAAGGTTTCATGTGAAGTCCACACATAGTATGGGATGTCCTGTGTAAGAACTGACCATTGTTTTTTTCTACTTATTTAAAATGCGGCCTTTATAATATTTTATATTATGTTAATACCCCGTCTCTTTAAAATGCTGCAGTAAAAAGGTTTCATGTGAAGTACATATATAGTATGGGATGTCCTGTGTAAGAGCTGACAATTGTTTTTTTCTTCTTTTTTAAAATGCGGTCTTTATAACACTTTGAAATATAATGATATACAATTTCTCCAAAACACTGCAGTAATAAGGTTTCATGTGAAGTTCACACATAGTATGGGATGTCCTGTATAAGAACTGACCATTATTTTTTTTCTACTTATAAAAAATGGGGTCTTTATAGTATTTTTTATTATGTTAATACCTTGTCTCTTTAAAATGCTGCAGTAAAAAGGTTTCATGTGAAGTACATATATAGTATGGGATGTCCTGTATAAGAACTGACTATTGTTTTTTTCTACTTATTAGAAATGGGGTCTTTATAGCACTTTATATTATGTTAATACCCCATGTCTGAAAAATGCTGCAGTAAAAAGGTTTCATGTGAAGTACACATAGAGTATGGGATGTCCTATATAAGAACTGACCATTGTTTTTTTTCTACGTATTAGAAATAGGGTCCTTATAACACTTTAAATCATATTAATACCCCATTTCTCCAAAACAGTGCAGTAAGAAGGTTTCATGTGAAGTACAGATATAGTATGGGATGTCCTGTATAAGAACTGACCATTGTCTTTTTCTACTTATTTGAAATGGGGTCTTTATAGCACTTTATGTTATGTTAATACCCCCTTTCTCCAAAATGCTGCAGTAAAAAGGTTTCATATGAAGTACACATATAGTATGGTATGTCCTGTATAAGAACTGACCATTGTTTTTTTATAATTATTTAAAACGGGGTCCTTATATTACTTTATACTATGTTAATTCCCCCGTGTCTTTAAAATGCTGCAGCAAAAAACTTTCATGTGAAGTACACACAGAGATAAGGGTGTCGTGTATAAGATCTGACCATTGTTTTTCTCTACTTATTTGAAAGGGGGACTTTATAGTACTTTTTTTTCTATGTTAACACCCCGTTTCTCTAAAATGCTGCAGTAAAAAGGTTTCATGTGAAGTACATATATAGTATGGGATGTCCTGTATAATAACCGACCATTGTTTTTTTTCTACTTATTTGAAATGGGGTTTTTATATCACTTTGTTGTGTTAATACCTCATTTCTCCAAAACAGTGCAGTAAGAAGGTTTCATGTAATGTACACTCATAGTATGGGATGTCCTGTACTAGAACTGACCATTGTTTTTTTCTACTTATTTGAAATGAGGTCTTTATAGCACTTTATATTATTTTAATACCCCATTTCTCCAAAATGCTGCAGTAAAAAAGTTTTATGTGAAGTACAGATATAGTATGGATGTCCTGTATAGGAACTGACCATTGTTTTTTTTCTACTTATTTGAATTGGGGTCTTTAGAACACTTTGAAATATATTATATACAATTTCTCCAAAACACTGCAGTAAAAAGGTTTCATGTGAAGTACACATATAGTATGGGATGTCCTGTATAAGAACTGACAATAGATTTTTTCTACCAATTTAAAATGTGGTCTTTATAGTATTTTATATTATGTTAATACCCCGTTTCTTTAAAACGCTGCAGTAAAAACGCTTCATGTGAAGTACATAAATAGTATGGTATGTCCTGTATAAGTACTTTCCATTGTTTTTTTCTACTTATTAGAAATGGGGTTTTTATATCACTTTATAATAGGTTAATACCCAGTTTCTCCAAAACGCTGCAGTAAAAAAAGATTTCATGTGAAGTACACATATAGTATGGGATGTCCTGAATAAGAACTGACCATTGTTTCTTTCTTCTTAATCGAAATGGGGTCTTTATAACACTTTATATTTTGTTAATGTCCCACTTCTCCAGATTGCTGGAGTAAGAAGTGTTTACATGTAGTATGCATATTGTATGTGATGTTCTGTACAGGAACTGATCATTGTTTTTTGTCTATTTATTGAAAATTGAGTCTTCATAACACTTTGAGTAATGTTAATGCCCAATTTCTCCAAAACGCTGCAGTAACAAGTCTTTATATGAGGTTTAGTATGGGATGTCCTGTATAAGACCTGACTATTGTTTTTTTTTTCTACATCTTTTAAATGAGCATTTTTTTTTCCAAATTGCTGCAGTAAAAAGGATTCATATGTTGTATATATGCATATAGCATGAGACATCTAGTATCAGACCTGATCAGTCTTTTATTTAACTTATGTCAAACAATGTATTTATAACACTTTAAAGACTTTATAGCTCAATAATAGCAAATTTCTCCAAAATGCTGCAGTAAGTTATTATGAGGTATGCATATAATATTGGATGTCCTGTCCATAGTTTTCTTCTGTTAACTTAAATGAGGTCTTTCACATGAGGTATGCATGTACATCCTGTATCAGAACCAAACTTTGTTTTTTTCTACTTATTTCTTTATAGCACTTTAAAGTGTGTTAATGGTACATTTCTCCAAAATGCTGCAGTAAAACAGGCTTCATATAATGTATGCTTAGTATTTGACTTCCTGCATCAGATCTTATTGTTGTTCTATTCTACTTATAACAAATAATAAGGTCTTTACAGTCATCTAAAGTGTAATAATGCCCCATATCCCATATACTGAAAGAAGCATACAAAATCCCCTTTAAATAAAACCAACATATATTTATAACTTAAACAATGTTTTGTTGGACTACTTTATGATTGTTTTCACTTTCTGAGGTTAGCCACGTTGTATAAAATTGCATTTAACCTTAATTGCAATGTACTGTAGTTGGCTAGGAGAAGTAGAAACGCATTCTGTGTATTTAGAAATCGTATATTTATTCTGTCCGTTTGATCTGCTATAAAATCATTTGAAGCAAAAAGATAAACTTGAGGAAATTAAAGGTAAGCCCAGAAACCAATTTCTTTAAATAACAACAGTCAAAAAAGCTAATAAATTGTTTAATAAAGCATACGTGGGAGGAAAGGGGGATAAACTTATATTTCGTTGTCATCTCTCTGTTCTGGGCGAAATGGGTGCTCTGTGGAGCGCTCTCTGTGTGGCTGCTGACATTACCGTAATGACAATAATACGCGCGCACCGAAATATAAAGCGCGGCTGGCTTGACTGTGTTTTTCCGAACCGCGGCTGGCTTGACCGCAGTGTATATCAACCAAACTACACAGTGACACAAACTTTGAATGCTATCCCTTGTTCAATGCACTGTACAAAGAAAACATTTATATTTCTATAAAATAATTAACATACCTTTTACACTCTTACAGACAAACTGACGTTTACCGTTAATCCAGTCAGGTGCAGAGGGAGTGAGTGGGTGATTGGGACGTCACGCCACTTCCCGCGCACGGCAGTTTAGAAAAATACGGACAAACAACTGTAAATGAACAGATACCATATTTACTGATGAGGAAAACGTATAAAAAGGTAAAAAATCATTAGGTAAATGCTTGTTTAAATTACATTTAACCACTCATAGCTCAGTTTGATCTTAATGAAATAAAGTCTGATCTTATTAACAATATTAAACGTAACTCACTGCTGTACTTTCCATGGGCGCTTCATAAAAGACAAAAATCATTTTAAATAACGATAAAAAGGTAATAAAGCAGTCTTTTAACTAAAATATTGTTATATGTTTTATTAATCGTACTTACCAGGGAAAAAACAGAGGAAGAAATATGTCCCGGTGTCCATCAAACGCTGTCTGAGCTGCGATCCCCTTCCCACAATGCAATTCGAAAATGTATATAAACGGAAAAACACCCGTAATACGTGTATACGGAAAAAATCTGTTAAAATATACAGTCATTTAACTGTTATTTTACAGATTTTTTTTACAGTGTACTGTGAACTTACTCAATTTAAGTATTGAGGTAATTAACTCATTACCTTTAACAGAGTTCAAAACTCTTTTCAAATTAGTAGAATTAACTTTCAGTCAATTTTGAGTAACTACACTTATTTCATTTATAAAGTTGACTGTTGGGTTTTACTAGATTTTAAGACTTTACAGCACAATTACCAGGTTACCTAATGAGCAAGTACACTACATTGGAAAAGCCAAACATTTGGATGTTGATAAGTGATGCAAGCATTAATATGCATTTGTTTACAATCTAATCTGTGCAAGAAACCACACAACAGAGAGTTCTAAATGATTAATTGATAACATGTTTGATGCCTGTAGTTTTTTCAATGCAAAATTGCAGCAAACTGTAAACTGCATATACAGTAGCTAAAATGTTTGAAGTTTTGCAGAAAGGTAAAGGTACTAGAGACACATTTTCAGCGAATTTGGGTTGCAACATTCCCAAAACACATAGCAGTTCCATTGCAAATATCTAAGTTTTTCTTTAAAGGCTTCCTCAAAAGTCTTCTATAAAACATCACAGCATCGACTTGTCCCCACAAATGAGATTCTCGGTCACAAGCCCAAGCCCAAGCGCTAAAATAAAACAGGTGCTTTAATATGCAAATAAAGCATCCAGTCAGACAAACTCCTGTCTTTGTAGTGTCTGCGGTAATTTACTTCTCTGCATCATCTCAGTAATGCATCATTCAGCACCAGCCTCCAACATCAAAGACAAGAACAGCTTTCTTTAATTGACAGAAGATGCCGATCCAACTCTGAGCCACTTCAAAGGTGCATTAAACAAATGAAAGCATTGATTATTTATAGATAAAACTAACAGAAACTTACAAAGGCTTTGACTTGAAGTGCTTAAACACATCGGTTCAGGAAAGTAAACAAACTGCATAATAAGCACTCCGTTTACAGTAAATCTGTCACCATTTTGCATCCAAGCACAGAATTTACCTTTAAATAAATAAACATTTGTTGTCACTTTAGTAATATGACCGAATTTGTTCAGTAGCTCTCAACAACCAGCAGAAATAAATCAATTTATAAATAAACCAATAATTTAATATTTGCACTGTAATATAAGAATAAATACAAAGCAATATAAGTGCAATAGGACTGGATAGTGCAAAAAATAATAATAATAATAAATCACTGCACAAATTAAAATAATAATACAGACATGCATGCAAAGTGTATTAGAATCAAAGTTACTATTATAACTAATATTTTTATCATTTTTCTGAACATTATGCAGTTAAATATACTAGAAAATAGTCAAATATATAAATAAAATAAACCCATTTTACATTAATTACAAAAATTAAAAATAAAATAAATAAATGCAAATGTAAAATATTTGAATTGCTACATAATCATCTTTTAATATAATTTATATCAAATTCAGGATTTGTTTTACAAAACTAAATCGTCAAATTTTGTAGATAATAATAATAATAATAATAATAACAACATGAAAGCTAGTTTTAAGATGTTACTAGCATCTGGAATAAAAATAACCACCTAACATGATTAAAAAAAATAAAAATAAAATATACAATAAAATTAATAAACAAAGCATAAAATAAACAAAACAAAAAACTAAAAAGTAACATAATAACAAAAATATAAATAAAATAAACTAATTTTGAATGAAATACACAAAAAATAAAATAAATAAATGTAAAGATACAATATTTGAATTGCTACATAATCATCTTTTAAGAGAATTTATATCAAATTTACTACTTTTTTAAAAACGAAATCGTCAAATTTAGTAGATAATTATAATAATAATAATAAAATGAAAGCTAGTTTTAAGATGTTACTAGCATCTGGAATAAAAATAACCACCTTGAATTGAAAAAAAAATACAAATAAAATAAAATAAAAAATAAAATAAAATAAAACAAAAATAATTTAATAAAAAATTAATAAAATAAAACTAAACATAAAGTAAACAAAACAAAGAACAAAACAAAACAAATATATAAATAAACTAATGTTAAATTAAATACATAAACTTTTTGATAAATAAATGTAAATATGTATTTGAATTGCTACATAACATAATCATCTTTTAAAAGATTTCATATCAAATCCACTACTTTTTTGTGAAAAAACTAAATAATCAAATTTAACAGATAATTATATAATAATAAAAAAATAAAGCTAGTTAAGATGTTACTAGCATCTAGAATAAAAATAATCACCTTACACAATTTCTAAGGTACAGTAACTGCAGAAAATCACACACAATATAGCATGCATGTGTGTGTGTTACAACAGTAAAACGCATGACACAGCAGGCAAGGATTTCCATTTCCTCAAAGTAATTAAAATTATCCCTCAGATACGGAAGCAGGACGGATACTCACTGATATGTCGTCTGTCTCGTCTTATCTGCACGCTCAGCCCCATTCTGACAGATGCAATAGTTCCCCACACCTGAGCCTTTCCTTCTCCAGTCTCTCTGCTGCTGCACGCAGACGCAGTAACCAGTCTCTCTCATGCACATACACACAACACCGCAAGACCCCCAAATCATTCAAAACAAAACGCCTGATTTACAGCACAATGAAAACCAGCGGAGCACTGCAGTGAAAAACACAGCGCTTCTCCATCTTCATCTCCTGCAGTAGAGCGGTGTGCATGATGCTGTGTCTAATTACAACTGAGCAAGAGGACAAATATAGAAACAGAGCCCCCACTCCACCTTCTAAGCCCCTCCCTGCGCTGGATGATGGTCCTCCCACTGAATCCATGCAGAATGAGCAGCTTTCAGACACTGATCTCAGAACAGCACAGACACATCAGTCTCTTTTTATGACAGCAGGTCTAGGATTGGGTTTGTTTTTGAGAATTTAACAAAGTAAAATAATATAATAGTAAATATTTATCATTATTATTTGTATTATTATTATTATTATTATTATTGTTGTTGTTGTTGTTGTTGTTGTTGTTGTTATTTTACTATTATTTATTATTATTATTACTATTATTTATTATTATTATTATTATTATGTAAAGGTTAGTTAAAACATTATTTAATGATATTAGACTGCAAAAAATGGTTTGGAGAATAAAATCTCCTTTTTATCGCCATTTCATGAATTATATAAATCTATAACATATTCTAAAAAGGTTTTCAGTAAAACGTACAAAATCTCACCTAGTGCAGGGCCGGATTTAGCAAATAAGCAAGGTAAGCAGCCGTTTGGGGCCGCAGGAAATGCAATGGGAAGCTTTCATTGTTGTGGTACATCAATATCATCATACTAATCATATTTACTGTTGTAATATTAGGGGAGTGACTGTAAACAGTGAGGGTTTTTAGGTGTTTCCAGCACACATGTGTACCAAACAAACAGTGCTGTTTTTGGCACTGCAGGTGTGGAACATAATTTTAAATATTACATATAGTATATCTTCCTTCTAATAAATCAAAATGCATTCTTAAATCTCAAAATTTATAATTTTTATCATTATATAGTGTACTTCCCATCCAAATAATTGCAAGATTGGTTTTTTTTTCACTTGAAAGTAAATATAGAATATTTCTAAAACGATATAACCTATAAATATAAAAAAAACACTTTATTGTCCTTTTTATAAAGTTAGATAATTTATAACATCTACAACTTTTCTACAATTTTTCAGTTTGTTTTATGTTTAAATTCCCCAAGAACAAAACATGCTGTCGTTGTCTATATACTGTATATCCAAACTTAAATGAGAACAAAACTTGCTAACTGGGTCCATCTTATTCAGACTGAACTCACTTACGAAATATGCTATCCATCTCAGATGCAGAAAAGCTAGTCAATGCTTTTATGACTTCGAGACTGGATTACTGTAATGCTCTATTTGCTGGCTGCCCAGCATCTTCTATTAACAAACTTCAATTAGTATAAAATGCAGCAGCCAGAGTTCTGACCAGGTCTAGAAAATATGATCATATCACCCCAATTTTATCCTCCTTACACTGGCTGCCTGTTAAGTTTTGTATTGAATTTAAAATATTACTTCTCACCTATAAAGCTCTAAATAATCTAGCTCCTGTTTATCTAACCAACCTTCTGTCTCGCTACAAACCAACTCGCTCTTTAAGATCTCAAAACTCAGGGCTTCTGTTAGTACCTAGAATAGCAAAATCAAGTAAAGGAGGTCGAGCCTTCTCTTTCATGGCTCCTACACTCTGGAATAGCCTTCCTGATAACGTCCGAGGCTCAGACACACTCTCCCAGTTCAAAACTAGATTAAAGACCTATCTGTTTAGTAAAGCATACACTCAATGCATCACCTAGCGGCTTCCACACAGGCTTCTGCATCTTGTTTATATACACTATGAACAGCAGCTACGCTAATTATTTTCTGAATTCTCTATTTTCACCTGGGGATACTCATCCCGAGGTCCTCAGATTATGCAGTCACTGATTGGATCCAAGACCAGCGACGAGATGATCCCAAGGATTCCATATCCGGGACCAGGCCATATCCTGAGCTGCTGCTGCGCTGATGGTCGTGGGGAGTGGAGAACATGAGTCTGATTCCAGCGACGCTCCAGGGACAGACGAGTCTTCGCTGAGGCCATCTTCCAGCCTCAACCACGGCGAATGAAGCTCTGCACAAGACTTTTGGCCAGCGGAGAAATTAAAATGGTCGTGCCCAACTGAGTCTGGTTCTCAAGGTTTTTTTTCTTCACTCCCATCAGGTGAAGTTTTTTTTCCCTCTGCGCTGTCGCCACTGCCTCGCATGGTTCAGGATTGGTAGAGCTACGCATCGATGAATTTGCTCTTCAGTGTTTGAACTCTCAGTAATGATTAAATCACACTGAACTGAGCTAAACTGAACTGAACTGAATTTAAACATTAAAACCTGAACTACACTGTTCCAGTTACTATGACCATTTATGTGAAGCTGCTTTGACACAATCTACATTGTAAAAGCGCTATACAAATAAAGCTGAATTTAATTG